CTCCAATCCCGCAGGCTGGAGAGGGGGGGCTCCTCCCTGCTACCCCACCCCCACGCCGTAACTCTCCGAGTGCGGCGCCCGCTAAAGCTGGCGATGAATGCTGGGGGAGGGGGAACGCCTGACCCCCCCTTCCCCCTCGAATCCCGGCAAACCTTCGCGGTGGGAGCCACCGAGGGCTGTGGAAAAGGTGCTCGGTGCCCAGCTCACCATATCTTGCCTCCCCACCCTACAGAACCCTCACCACAGCCACCTCCCTTCCCCCAGCCTCCTCTTCCCCATCCCTAAATAGCCCAAATTAGGGCTGGGCTCATCATCCTCCAAGCAGAGACACCTGGACCCGGAGCAGCACAGAGAGAGGCCGGTGTTCTTTGTGGTGGGGTTCCGAGAGCCCCTCCCCAGCCCCCTGCCTCGGGCTCCCGGAGGGCAGCCAGCCCTGCAGTGGGCAGATGGTGCTGGCACCGGCACCGAGCAGCTCCATGTTGGCTGATGGACGGCTCTTGCGGGTGTTAAAAATATATTAAAATTAAAAAAAAATCTCTTTGTTTAAAAACCCCCTCCTCACCCCTCCAAAAGCCCAGATGGCTTCGCCTCGCCGGATCCCCCGCAGCCCGGCCAGCCCCGCTGCACACACAGCCCACGCACCCGGCTCCACTGGGGGGTTAATTCTAATCCCAGGTTCTGCTTTGCATCATTCCTGCCATGGAGAATGGCATGGCTTGGCATGGGGAGCCGAGAGCAGCAGCCAGCCCCACGTCATGGGCTGAGTGCCACCAGCCCCGTGGCATTGTCTGTTGTGCCACCAGCCCCGTGGCATTGCTGTGCCACCAGCCCCATGGCACTGTCTGCTGTGCCATTGTGCCCCCAGCCCCACGGCTGTGGTGGGAGCAGGGCTGGAAGTGGTGCTGGGATCCTCCTCATCCCGGGGGTGCTGCGGGCTCTTCTGCAAAGCACTTTCAGCTCTAAACCCAAAACTTTGATCCGCCAGTAGCGCCATCAATGTTTAATGCAGCAAAACCCTGGTAGGGCTCGGAAGATGAGCATTTTGAGGCCAAATTGAAGTTTCTAATATTATGATATTCAAATAATTTTAATCTGCCTGATGCATCCCCAGGCATGTACCTGGACTGCTAATGAGGGGCTGCCTTCAGCCGCTGCTGCTTTTGACAGAAAACAAACAATTCTTTGCAGGTGCCAGCAAAGGATTGGGAATGGAGAGGTCTGGGGAGGAAAATGGGGGCAAGCATGCATGGAGCCAGGGTTGCAGCTGGGAGAGAAAGATGCTGTGTTTGCCTCAGCTCCCTGGGGAAGAGCTTTGCTCCCTAATTCTTTATTAAGTGTTGGTTTGTGCTTGGTGGAAAATGAGGCTGGCATAGATGGATGGTGGGATTTTGGGAAACTTCTGTCCCACCATACAGTGGAAAAAGGGTGCAGGGGGTACAGAGTACAGTGCCCATCAAATTGCATCTGATCCTTGTCCATCAAATTGCATCTGATCCTTGCCCTGATCCAACCTTGGCCAAAGTTCCTTGTTCCCCACCTCCCCAGTGCCAAGTGGATCTGAGATAGGGCAGCTCCACAGCCTGTGCCAGGCAGTTCCCCAAGCCCCCATTTCCCCCTCCCCAGGCCATTGACAGCCCCAAATTCTCCCATCCGTCCACCCAGCCCACACAGGGAATATTCCATTTTTACTCAGCTCTCCTGACCCACACCAGCTGCTTAGGGAAATGGATTTCTTGCTTCCACCAGCATTGCCTCCACTCAGTATAAACCCAGGTGAAGAGGACACAGCAGGGATGATGGCGACCTTGGTACAAGGCTGGGGGGACCCCTTAAAAATTCACCCTAAGGCAAACTGAGGTCCTGCAACTGCTTTTTGGGTTTTGGGGGTGCAGACCTCCCTGATACCTGCATTCAGCCCTGGTTGGGGTCACCTGCAGAACAAAAGCAATGGCTGGAGGGGTCCCACAGAGCCCTTGGGATGGTGATTTGCACCCCACCAAAGACCTCACCATCTCTGTAACCTCACGAGCAAGGCTTTTCCATCCGTTCCATTACCACGCCGCTAACAGGAGAGGAGTTCATTTCTACCATTTAACGTTTCACGGATAATTAATTATTCTTCATCTTTCCAGCAAAAAAGGAAGAGCAAGCACAGGGGCTATTCAAAGCAAAAAAAAAAAGTCAGCTGAAACCCAGGGAAATTGCTGAATTATTTGTAACATCAAAGGCGAGCGAGGATGTGCTGATTTAACGGGGCCCTGCGTGATGCAGAGCCCTGGGCACGGTGGTGATGCTCAGGCTGGGGTGCTCTCATTGCAGCAGTGGCCATGGGCAGTGGGGTGGATGAGGGGTCTGGGGGGGACCCCAATCTCTGCCTGTGCTGCCCATCCTCCTCCTCTCACCTCCCCATCACTGTGAGCAGCCAGTTCTGCCTTTGCACCATGTTGGGGTGTCCCTGTGGCCTGGTGGGAGCCTCCAGTGCTCCCCAGTGCTTCATTCATCACCAGAGGCAAGTGGAAAATAAATAATGGTATTTAACATTTCGTAATAACGACAATTAACCAGTAAATAATGCCTTTTACACCGCAGAAGCCAGAGTAAATTAATTCCCCTAATTAAGGGGAATGTCAGGCAGCACAGGGCAGTGGTGGCAGTGGGCAAAACTAGCAGCCCCTGCCTGTGTTATCCCTCACTCTGAGGCATTGTCCCCAAATCTCAGTCACACCCCAAAATTTTACAGATTTGCAAAATCCACCACGCTGCATCCTGGCAACTCTGGTGAGCTCTAAATCACCCCTATCTCCCGTTAAAAAAATAACAACAAAAGATGGCGACAAAATGGTTTATGGCTGCAATAAATTGTGCTGGAGGTTAAAAAAAGCCTCGTTTGCCTGGAAGCAAGGGGAGGTTCCCACTGGCACATAAATGGAAGCCCTGTGTCCCACCACAGCTGGAGCCAGCAGTCACCAGTGGAAAAGGGGAATTATTGGAAGTGGTTTTCCTTCACATCTACGCCACCCTGACCAGCAGAGCTGCCTGCCCTGCTGGGACCACGTGTTGGTGATGGAATGAGAATATTCGTTCCTGGTCAGCTGCAAGGGGCAGGAAGAGTGTGGCTCCTGTGTGCCCCTGTGTCCCCACAGGAACTTGGGCAAGGCTCCACCACCCGCTCGGCCCAGCTGGACTCTGCCCCGTTCCTCCCCTTGGCTCCCTCCCAGCGGCCACAGAGGCAGCAGCAGGGACGGGGACAGACACAGAGACAGCAGCAGGGACGAGGACGGACATGACTGCGCCAAGCCAGCCCCAGAAATCCACCTACGATGTCATTGTCATCGGGGCCGGCATCCAGGGCTCTTTCACCGCCTACCACCTGGCCCAGCGCCACCAGGACACACTGCTGCTGGAGCAGGTATGGCGGCCCCATTCTGCCACCTCCCCATTCCCAACAGGCTGGGCCGGCTGCCTGCAGAGCTGGCTGCCCTCCACCGTGGCACGGAGCAGAGCTGCTGCTGGCACTGCAGTCCCTAATGCCACGGCCCTCTTGTCCCCAGCACCCCGTTTCCTGCCGTTTCCCGGTGCCGTGGGTGACAGGGCAGACTGTGTCCCCAAGGTGCCCTCTGCTGCAGGTGCACATGGTGGCACTGAGGGTGGCAGTGCCTGTGCTCACCCCCGTGTCCTCTCTGCCTCGCAGTTCCTCGTGCCCCACTCTCGGGGCAGCTCTCACGGGCAGAGCCGCATCATCCGCAGCGCCTACCCCCAGGAGTTCTATTCCCGCATGATGCCCGAATGCTTCCGCCTCTGGCAGCAGCTGGAGGCCGAGACCGGCACCACCCTCTACAGGTGATGGGGACAAGGACTGGGGGTGGTGACCTTTGGGTGGGACGTGTCTTCCTTGGCAGGCAGCTGCCAGTTCCTGGAAATTTATGGGGTTCCACTAAAGAAATGTCCTTAAGTAAATGAACAACTAAATGATCCTCCGGTGTCGGTATCAGGACTGATGACCCTTGCAATATCAGGGGGCAGAGTCCCCATGCACCTCACCCTGCCCTTGTGCCCTGCATCCCACTGCGTTGTGCCCCAGTACCAGGGCACAGCACATCCCAAGCATCACTGCTGTCGCCGTGCCTCAGTTTCCCCCGGGGGCAAAGCAAGCAGGGGGTCCCTGCAGGGAGGGGGAGCAGGGCGAGCTGACGGGACTGGTGGGATGCAGGCAGACGGGACTGGTGCTGCTGGGGCCGCCGGGAGAGCCGGAGCTGGAGGCCTGCAGGAGGAACCTGGGTGTTGAGGAGGTGCTCGACGCCGCGGCGCTGTCCCGGCGCTTCCCTGGCTTCCAGATGCAGGCTGGGCAGGTGGCCGTGCTGGACAGCACCGCCGGGGTGCTCTTCGCCGACCGGGCACTGCGGGCAGTGCAGGTGGGTGCTGCAGAGGGGAGGGAATGCTCTGGGATGACATGGGATGCTTTGGGGTGGGATGGGGGTCCCCTGGCTCTATCCTCGCAGCCACCTCTTGTCATTCCTCCCCACACAGGAAGTTTTTCGCCGACACGGGGGCACCCTGCGGGATGGGGAGAAGGTGCTGAGCATCCAGCCTGGGGCCACGGTCACTGTCACCACCACTGCTGGGGTGTACAAAGCCCCCCGGCTCATCATCACGGCTGGAGCCTGGACTGGTGCCTTCGTGGAACAGCTGGGTCTCCGCCTGCCACTGCAGGTAAAGGTTGGTGGCACTGGGGGGTGGCAGAGGCATGGCCAGAGCTAATGGAGTGATGATTCCAGCCCCTGCGCATCAATGTCTGCTACTGGAGGGAGAAGCAGCCTGGGAGTGCTGGCCTGGGCAGTGTCAGCCCCTGCTTCTTGACCCTGGGGCTGAGCCAAGCCCCCCACGGCATCTACGGGCTGCCCTCCATTGAGTACCCAGGGATGATGAAGGTGAGCAGGGCACAGCTGAAGGTGGGGGAGTCCCTAACCAGCCCACCCTGACCAGCTGTGCTCCAGGTGTGCTACCACCACGGCAGCCCTACTGACCCAGACAAGCGGGATCAGGCCCCCAGCTCTGACATTGCTCTTCTGAGCAGCTTCATCAGCAGCTACCTGCCCGGGCTGGAGAGCCAGCCTGCAGTGATGGAGACCTGCCTCTACACGGTGAGACCCTCCCCAGGGCACAGATCCGGGCATCCGGGGTCCTGAGCCTTCCCCCACCCCAAGGGGAACCCCAGCCTGTCCCCTCACCTTCACACCCTGGCTCCCCAGAACACTCCAGATGAAGATTTCATCCTGGACCGGCACCCCAAGTTCAGCAACATCGTTATTGGTGCTGGCTTCTCAGGTAGGCGAGGGCAGCCACCCCCAGCCCAGCACCCCACACCTGTCCAGGGTTGTGGGGATGGCTGTGTCCCCACCTTCCCTCTCCTCCCCACAGGCCATGGGTTCAAGCTGGCGCCAGTGGTGGGGAAGTTGCTGTGTGAGCTGAGCCTGGGCGAGGAGCCATCCTACAACATGGCCCATTTTGCCATCTCTCGTTTCCCTGGTGTGCTCGGGGCTGCACAGTAGGTGTGGGGCCCCAGATGTGCCCCTATGGCATCACACTGGCCTGCAGCTGTGTCCCTGCATCCCAGTGTCCTCACACCCAGTACACCTCCATCTCCATGTATCTCCATCTCCCTGCACCTTGGGGACTCCCAACATGCTGCATTCCTCCAACCCCACACCCCAGATAACCTGCATTGCCATGCCCCCATATCCCACCATGCCAGCACCTCTCATCCTTTCTTCCCCACATCCCTACACCCTGGTACCCTGGTGCCCTGCCTCCCCACCTGGCAGCATCCAGCATCCCCCATGCCAGGCGGTGCCAAGCCATCTCTACCAAGCACCCACTCCTGGGGAACAAATTAAGAAGCTTTGTCAGCCTCATGAAGATGGAGCAGGAGCAGCACGGAGAGACACACTCGCTTAGGAGTCAAGTTAAATGTTTTAATGTTAAATGTGCCATTTTATTATCATTAGATCGCTCCCACTTAATGAAAGCGCATTAGCGCAGCGTGGCTTTATGGCAGCGAGCACCGAGCTTGGCCTGCGTGCTTCCAAGAGATACTGGGGAAAGGGAAACAACCTGCCAGGGAGGGAGGGGGGTCCCCAGGGTGCAGGGTGTCCCTGGGGCCAGGGCACAGCACGTGGCACGGGGACAGCACAGGGCCAGGGCCGAGGCTGAGCCGTGCAGGCAGCCAGCAACGCACATCATCATCTCCTCCGCGTTAATTATTTAACGCCAGCAGGCAGAGGCTCTGTCCCGCTGCTCATCTGCATATTTATGAAGATTGATAAATGATTCAGCACTGGCACCCACCAGGGCTTCCCCCCCCGCTCCCCTCCCCAGCACCCATGGGTGCAGCAGGCTCAGGGAAGAGGCTGGACTTGGCCTTTCCATGAAGCTCTGCATCCCTGCTGGGGTTGGATGCATTCCATCAGCATCCACCATGCAAACACCCCCCTCAAAACGGGGAGACCCCCCAGGCACACGGAGCAGGCAGCAGCCAGTATCACCAGCCAGAAATGACGTTTATTTTCATACTGAAAGTAAAGGGAGTGGGGGAAGATGCACAGCTGGGCTAGTGCAAAACAGCCAGGCAGAGGTGGGGGGCTGGGGGGGGGTCACAAAAACCCGGGTGGGCACATGGGACCCTCTCCCCATGTCCCCCTCCCAGCTGCTCCCCAGGGCCCGGCCAGCGAGAGACGTCTTTGGCTCAACTAAAAGGGGTGTAAGAGGACGGCAGGGTGCCGAAGGGGGGAGTTTAAGTTACAAAACAAGGTGCCAGCAGGCACTGAGGAATAAATCCCGGGTGCCGGAGCAGCCGACTCCGC